AGTTGAATATTATTGTAACGAGGGTCTTACTCTGTGGGAGAAAGCAGTTGATTACACACATATATTAAACAACAGAAAATCGAATTTGAAACATTTAACACCGGAAATGTATGAAAATTTAACTGAATCAGAATTAAAAGCATTTAAAATACACTTTGCAATTCTTTCATATGAGCAATATCGAGCAGCTCTGAGAGCCTTTGGACCGAAAGGTGCTGTTTTGAAAAGATCCGATATATTAAAATTTATGGCTGTTACACTGTATTATGCAGAAAATTACACAGTCGAAGCTCAAATATACGTCATTGTTGCAGTTTACATATTAACTGAAAATTACATGGAAAGTAACATTTGGGAAGAAAAAGTCAAAGAATTGCAAACTGAGTTGGAAAAAATACAGCGACAAAATAATCGTCGTCCAGCTCCAACAATAGGCAACAGCGCTTCGGCGAACGCATCGTCAGCTTCACTCTCACAACTTGCCATCTATTCGCCGTCACAAAAACGAGAAAATATCCTGTTGTCATATGCTGGCGGCAGCATCTCTCGAGCTCGAACTCGTTCAAATGTTCGTTCATGTTTACAGCAACTTATACTTAAACAATGTTTACTAAAAGTTGATAACGACAATGTTCGTCTTAATCTTCCTAAAGAACTGGAATTAAAAGTGAGAAAAGGAACCATACGATATAGGCTGATTGGTTTGGCTTTTCAAGTGAGAGAATTAACTCAGCATATACCAAATATTAATACCACGCTTTTGGATTTCCGCAATGTAATCTTTTTGAGCGCTTCCGCAATGGTGCGAAATTTGTTGCTATTTAGTACGAGGGGGGCAGTAGTAGACGGCAGCAGTAGGGATTACTATAATGAACCAAAAATTCGAGAAAATCTCAACAAAATGATGAGAAGAGCACTCGAACATTATAGGAAAGGCCAATATGTCGACTTTATTAAATCATTAGCCGAACCTTATTTCCCTGACAGGCAACCTATAATTAAAATCACTCGTAGACCTGCCGATTCCGATATCACTGTAAACATGAACCCTGACACCATAGTATCCACTCTTCTCAAACATGAATTTGCTCCTGATAGAATAGCTCTTCTGTTGGTATTGATTGGTGAAGCCTTTTACGTGGACTTGATTTTCGCGAAGCTTCTCCCCTTCAGAATCCCAGACAAGACTCTTTGACTGAAGACGCAATAAGAGCTTTTGAAACAGTCTACAATAACACATCATTGCGAATTGCGGCTGAACAACTTGATAAAAGAATCGAAGAAATACAATTAATAAGATATGGAAAACGACTTAGACAGAGGATTAAAGCATTTCGTTATTCTATACCAGATGAGTATCTTGAAGATGCCATCC